AGGTTGGAATGGTGGCCAAAGGCCTCTCCAAGAAATAGAGGATCCTCAAGCCAGAGACGAGACAGCGCTCGGAAGACCCCAAGTCACTCTATGTGTTTACCTTATCCCAAAATGTCCTTTTGCAAAACGTACTATTTGAAGTTTTGCTTTCAGCTTAATAAAAATATTCTTTTATGCGTTAACAGAAAAAGCGTCTTTTGGTGACTGCAGAGGTATTCACCAAACTGAAAATGGTGCTTATTTCTTATGGGGGTAGACATTGGTGGGGTTGGAGGCCTGTGGTCAATGGTACTTCCTGTATTGTTTGTAATCCTTTGATGTTTTCATAAGGAGCACGTATCTACATATACCTTCGGTAAGGAAAACATCACCTTGTTTTAATGTTCCAAACTTATTGATTACACGAGCGCCCACGTCTTGTTTGAGAAAGTAGGTGTATAGCATGAACGTTTAAGAGGAATACATTTTTTCAAAAAGTCCAAGTTTGATTTTCCCATCTATGTCCCATTTCTCTTTCTCCTTTTTTTTTTATTTTTAATTGTTTTTTCCATTTCATTTTATGTTGCCTAGGAATCCACTTCATGGGTAACCTGATTTCTCTCAGGCCTTTAGAAATATATGTGTATTTGTCTATTTAGGCATATAGTATTCCCTGACTTGCTTTTTTCAAAAAAAAATCACTCTGCCTTCGAGATCTTTACAAATGTGAATGAATTCCAATTTCTTCTTTAAAAGGAAATGCAGGCATTAATGGATATACCCTAAATTACTTAAGTAGCTCCTGTTGATCAGTATTTGATGGGTTTTTACTTCAAATGTCCATGGTCAACTCCCTTGTTCATTTCCTCAAAAGCCACTCCAAATCTTCATTTGCAGTTCCAGGCTAATTACTCCACTGTATTCTGGAAACAATCCGTTCAGACTTCTTTTTTTCTTCTTCTTCTTCTTCTTCTTTTTTTTTTTAACTTTTATTTATTTATTTGACAGAGAGAGCAGGAGAGCACAGGCGGGGGGAGCGGTGGCAGAGGGCGAGGGAGAAGCAGGCCCCCCTGGTGAGCAGGGAACCTGATTTGGTGCTTAATTCCCGGGTCCCTGAGAGCATGACCTGAGCCAAAGGCAGATGCTAAACCGACTGAGCCACCCAGGTGGCCCCCCATTCAGACTTCTTTAAAGACCTCATTCCATTCCATTAATTTTCCATTCTGCTGTATCTTCAGCCTGCCAAATATCTTAAATCCGTCTCTCCCTTTCTTTCTTTTTTTTTTTATAGTAAGAAAAATGTCAATTTGATCATTTACTTTAGCAGGCAAGCAATTTGTAAACATTCAGTAGCGGCAGCATCCAAGTTACAAACGATTTAAAAAGAAACCAAGATTAGTGATTATAATTGTTCCTTCCCTTTCCCCAAAAGAAAAAAAGAAAAAAAGATTTGGAAATGAATGACTGAAAACACTACAAACAGGGAACATTCAGTTACATCTTCTATCAGCCTTCTATGCATCCTCTCTGTGTTTTATTTTTAAAGATGTCTCTACTCCTAAAATGCATTATCTTGCAATAACTTGTACGTGAGTGTTTGCAATCTAGGAAGTTGTTCCTGCGCACGGATGTGCATGGATCATCTCAGTTTAAATCCCACTCGCAAAGGGAATATTTATGTCTTGATTCAATGCTTCTTTGACTTCGAGTGGCAGGGTGTCAAAAAGGTGATCTTCCACGACAAGTCTGCTTTTCTTGAGCAGGCGACACTGGCCCAGCTGGGCTGGCAGGCGGTCCAAGCAGTTCCCCTTCAGCTCCAGCTGAGTGAGCTGGGAGAGCTGACCAATCTTCTCCGGGAGGAAGGTGATGCAGTTTTGCCCCAGATTCAAAGTCCTCAACTTCACGCATTTGAGCAACTGTTTTGGCTCGCAAAACACAAAAAAAAGAATGTCCACTTTGTTCCTAGTGATATGCAAATACTGTAGGTTCTGAAGCAATCCTATTTCTATCGGAATCACTGAAATGTTGTTGTAGCTTACCTCTAAGCATCTGAGTTTCTGTAAACTGAACACTGCCACGGGTAAGGATTCGAGCTTGTTGTTAGAGAAATAAAGTGACTCCAAGTTTCTGACATGGGTGATGGAGGGAGGAATGGTAGCGATTTTATTATGCCATAATTTTAAGCACGTCAGTCGTTTTCAATGCTGGAAACTGATGATCTCCTCAATTGTGTGGATGTTATTTGATTTTAAGTCCAGTTCCTGCAGATTTGAGAGGCTGAAAATAGCATGGGGGATTCTCTCCAGCTCACAGTTCTGAAGTTCGAGCTCGGCAACATTCATCATTTTCTTAAGGCTGTTCAGTACCAAGAGTTTAGTGCCGTCATTATGAATGACTAACTTTGTAAGATGTGGAGCCACATCTGTAATGTTGGAGGGAACTTTGGTCAAATTACTCTTCATGTGGAGAATCTTAAGGTGCCGCAACTCTCGGAGAGATTCGAGTCCGATCATCCTATTGTTCTCAGAGTTCAAATTGCCTATCAAGTACAACTCTCGAAGGTTTTTGAGCAGGTACACCCAGGCAGGGATTTCAGCAACGTCAGTGAACTTCACGTGAAGGCATCTCAAGTGATCTCGGAGGAAGCTAAAAGCAGTCTGTTCCACTTTTGCAGGGCAGTGGCAGAGGTGAAGCTCTTGGAGGTTAGTCATCTGAGAAATCTTAGCGGGAATTTTAGCTTCCGGAATCAGTTCAAGTTTTAGCACATCCAGGTCTCTGGGGTCAAAGATGGCGTCAGGCACACCGGACAGCATGAACGGATGGAGCTCCTGCTTGTCCTGGGCGTTGCGGGACACGTGCTGCCGAAGTTTTTCAAATGTCCACTCGTGGTTCAAACTAATTTCCCTAAGTTTATTTTCACTGACTTCTGACAGGAACACACCAAAGCGCTTTGAATACAGCTGGTCATACTGGTCTACCATGTGCAGGAGGAACGTAAAATCGTTTTTGACATCTGGAATGTCACTGAAACTGCTCTCTTCTTTGACTTTTTCGAAAGAATATTCCTTCAAAGGTATCCTGAACAACCAGAAGAGAGTGTAGAAGCAGATAAAACCATAAACACAAATAATGGGTATATAACTGATGAGAAGCTTTTTCAGCATGTTAAGCCGTGTTGTGGGTGCACTCGAATACCTCATAACCAGTCAGATGCTCCACTTTGGGCTTGCAGACATGTTCAAAGCTGATGGCGTTGACGAAGTTTGCAGTATAGCAGAGGCTGAAAATGAATTTGGCTGTTTTGATAAATGTTTGGACCACGTAGAGCTTGTAGATCAAGTCACTGTCTTCCACGTGAGCACGGAACTTCCTTACTTTCTCAAACAGGGCTTTGGCCTGTTCCCCATCTTTTTTATCCAGGATGGTCATGCTGGGGACTTTAATCACAGGCTTCTCGGCTGAGGATTTGAAGCCTGTTTTGTTGATCATTGGGGTACTGGCCCTAGGGCTCCCTTCATCACTGCTGGTAGACACATGCTTTGGTAGAGTCTGGGCACCTGTTATTCTCTGCTTGTTTTCCTCCAAGTCTTCACACGCTGTCTCAGACAACGCTTTAGTAGTCCAAGGAGATTCAAAGCACTTTCCTAATATTGAAACAAAATGTTTTACCTTTGAGCATGTTTTGGGATATTTGAACCAAAAGTTGTTACTGACCATGAGAATAATAGTATGTATGAGAGCAAGGTATGGAAAGTACTTAGAATACCACAGAAGGGCCGGATGGTAACACATCTGATTAATAAATACATATTGCTGAAAATCCAGGTTTGTCTTTTGGCCTGTTGGATCTTTCTTCTCTTTCTTTGTCTCCTGATTTGGAACTGTCGAATCGGTGTGAGGATATGTGGCTCTGAGAGGTATGTCAGGTGTCACAGCAGATGTGCCAAAGGAAATGTCACTTGCCACCCGCCCGTCTTGGTCTTGGTCAGTGGCTGCTTCCATCTTGGGGATATTGGTGGTGATGGCGCCATTTCCCGGGGGCGTGTGTGCCTTTGAATTTACAGGAGATGGCAATACTGGCAAGCAGACCACCTGATCTTTGGTAAGTTGCATGGTTCCTGCAAAGATGGCTACCATCAACATAACGACAGCCAGGTAATCCATAAACACGTCCCACCATGGTTTCAGGATTTGGTAAGTTGGTTGAATGTCATTAAGTGAAGCAACTTCTGCAAGGGTAAACATTCCTGGACCAGGCGGCCACCCTGCTCCCTCCGGGCGCTCTCCGGGGACTCGGCTTCAGGGGGGGGCTCTAAAGGCTGGAACCGGTGGAGACGGAGACTTCACTCCTCCATCCTGGGACCCGGCGGCACGTTACAGACAGGCGTGCACTTCCTTGGGGGGCAGCCCGGGCAGCTTGGCCGCCAAGCCACGGCTTATGCTGAGGCGGGAGGTGGCGGCATCACCTGCGGCGGGCGGCGGCTGCACCGGGACTCGCCAGGGCAGCGAAGGCGCGCGGCGCCCTGGATCCTGCGTCCGAGGCCCCGCCCGCGGCTGCCACCTCGAAGTGCAGCGGAGGAGCCGGGGCACCACGGGCAGCGACAGCGGCGGCGACAGGAGCAGCAGCACATGACTCTGTAACGGGGGGAATCCGTCCCTCCCTTTCTGTTGCCAGTGTTCTGGTTCACCCATTCCTGTCTCTTGCACAGACTAGTGCAGTAGACTGCCTGCCGATCTTGCTGGTTCCACTCTCCGCCTCCCTTGCATCCATTCTCCACGCTGCTGTTAGGACGAAGTGAGATGAAAATCTGATATTACTTCCCTGCTGTAATTATTTGAGGGTTCCCCATTCCCTGGAGTTCGACCTTTAAGAGACCTTCCAAGCCCTTGCTTTTGCAGCCTTCCCTCCTGCTCATCATTCACATACAGGCCGCCCTTTAGCCAGAAGTGAATTCTTACAAGCCCCAAATACATTATTATCCATATAAGTTCAAGTCCATGAGACTCATCATTGTGCTTTGACAAAGGTACAGAGCGGAAGGATTTCATTTTTCTCCTCTTCACCCATTGGTGGGGGAGTGATTCCCACCCTAATGTAATGGGATGCCCGGATGCTGAACAGATGAGCTCGACAGTAATTTATAACCCACGTGTACTTATGGCCCATACCGTGCAGGGCCAGGTTGCACCTGGGAGCAGAAAGAACAAGGACTGTGGGGGGTCAGACCTTGGAGTAACAAGAGAGTGAAGGTGAGCCCTACTTCCTGCAAGAGGGCATGGCTGGCTTGCTGGATAATTCCACAGGCTGTCAGGGAACTGGACCTTACGACTTGAGGAGAAACTGTGCCTGGTCCCTGGGATAAGGAGGGCTGTTTGGCCAGGAGACCCGATCCGTGGGAGCAGAGGGCGAAGGGAACTGAGAGTAAGGCCACTGGAGGCCCTCTGATGTTCCCCGATGCCAAGACAACACTTCCTATGGAACCTTAATCTCACGCTCTCCATCCCAGTGGACTCTGGTATGTCCACATCATTTTCAGCCTGGGGCTGAGACTTTTAAGGACTAGGACAAGTGCTTCTCTAGGAAGTGTGGCTGGCACCTGACCAGGAAGGAGAGATGGCGTCAAAACCAAAATGTGTCAACTGCCATTGATGGTCACTCAGTTGATCCCAAGGGAATCCTGAGGTAGCCAAGGGACAGAAGGTAAGGCTGACGTCCCGCACGCCGCGGAATCTGACAAGGACTGTGGACCCAAGCAGCCGCCCCCACCTGCAGGTTGGATATGCAGACTGGTTCAGTCTGTAGCAAGAAGGTCTTGGTAACTACATTAAGCTGGTGGGGTACCATGACCCGCGGAGTAACAGACAGTGGGTTATGAAGGCTCAGAGTCTGTGAAAGACTCTGTTTCCAGGAGAGCCCAGTGCACGGCCAACAATTGCTCCTTTCATGGTCTATAACCTAGGGCCAAGGAGGGCTGTTTCTTGCATCAGGAGCCCATGGACAATTCCAGGGATTCCAGGAAACTGGAGAGGTGCTTGCTAAAGCCTTTTCACTTAGGGAAATAATGGGTGATATTTTTTAAAAAGATTTTATTTATGTACTTGAGAGAGAGCTGGAGCTGGAGGAGGGGGTCAAAGGCAGAGGGAGAAGCAGCCTCCCCAGTGAGCAGGGAGCCCCACGCTGCGCTTCATCTCAGGACCCTGAGATCATGACCTGAGCCAAAGGGAGACGCTTCACCGATTGAGCCACCCAGTCGCCCCCCAACAGGCGATTTTAACTTGGACAGAGCCTAGAGCCTTTGGTTGAGGGGAGCCCCACCCAACCTGGGCTCATGGACCAGTAACAGCCTAAACGGGCTTACGTAAAATTTATAAACAAGGGATATGTCACCTCCAGAACCGAAAAAATACTGAAAGACTTTGGACTTGTATGTCCTTTTTTCTTTTAAAAGATTTTATTTAGTTACTTGAGAGAGAGCAAGAGCCCAAGAGTGAGAGCACAAGGGGCTGGTAGGGGCAGAGGGAGAGGGAGAAGCAGCCTGGCTGAGACATCAAGAGACTAGGGATACATGCTTAGTTGGAGGAAAAAGCCTTTAAACTTTGCATGGGTAATATGTGAAAATAATTGAGAATTGTACTAAAAAATATGACTTTAGTGATATAATTTATATTGACAGCTTGAATCCAAAGCTGCCTTATTAAAATGATACAAGAGCTGAGTGAGAACCTTTGTATGTGTGGAAAACATATGCCTTATTATGCTAAGAAACTATAGGAAGAAGGATTCCCAAAAGGAATTTACTATGGAAGATCAATAAATATCAATAACCCATAGGAAAGTTATTGAAGACATAAAACATATGGATGGTGAAACAAAAAACCCCATGATTTAACACATCTCTATAAAAGTTAGTTCAACCTAATTTACCTGGGAATGTCAGTGTGATGAAATACTTTAAACGATCCAGTTTATCCTCCTGTGCATCGATCTTGACCTTGACCTTCAGGATGTAAATGTTGCCAAACTTGTTTTTGAGGTGCTGAGGGCTACCCAGGCACAGGAACTTTCCCTGCACCATGATGGCCAGCCTGGTACAGAAGGCATCACATTCCTCCATTCTAGCAAAACATGATAGCATAGAAAGTTCTGGTTTGGAGGACATTCTGTAGTTCATACGGAGCCAGGATTTTGTGACTCTGTTTTCAGTGTGAAATGGAATTTGCTAATCATAAAGATCATAGTTGGAAAGTGAAAAGCTTTCAAACAATTAGTAGTAGAGTACTAATCCCCAGACACAACAGCTCCTGAACGTCTTGCTCTTTCCCCATTCTTAATTATTTAACTCAACAAAGATTTGTGGTCATTCCATTCATTAGTACTAAGGTGGAAATCACATACCTATGCAAATTTACTGTCAATATTCCTAACCCCAAATAATTCTTGCATATAAGCCACTATCATACTTGCCAACCCTCATTCAAGCATCCAAATGAGTCACACCTGTGGGAAGTTATAATGATGGCTTTGCCACTTTCACGTGTCCGTGTCACAGCATCCCAGAGCAGGTGTCGGGCTACAGGGTCCATGCCAGTTGATGGCTCGTCCAGCAAAATGAGTGAGGTCTTTCCCATTAGGGCAATAGCAGTACCCAGCCTACGTTTGGTTCCTCCACTTTATGGTCATAGAAGGAGAGAAAATTTAGGGGAAAGGGAAGTTATATAAATTAGTAACTTATAGGACAGAGCACAAACATATCCACAAACATGTAATATAGAATTCCACAATGCTGATTAGTTGTACTTCAATAAGTTAGCAAACCCAGTACAGGTGTATATACCAATTAATTTTCTTTCTTTTTTAAATTTAATTTTATTATGTTATGTTAGTCACCATACAGTACATCATTAGTTTTTGATGTAGTGATCCACGATTCATTGTTTTCATATAACACCCAGTGCTGCATGCAGTACATGCCCTCCTTAATACCCATCACCGGGCTAACCCACCCCCACCCCCTCCCCTCTAAAACCCTCAGTTTGTTTCTCAGAGTCCATTTCATTTGAAATGTAGATGAGTGACTTTTTTTAAAAAAATTCATTTGAGACACAGAGATACAGAGAGAGAGAGAGAGCATGAGCAGGGGGAGAAGCAGAGGGAGAGGGAGAAGCAAGCTCCCTGCTGAGCCAGGAGCCCGATGGGGGCTTGATCCCAGGACCCTGGGATGACGACCTGAGCCAAAGGCAGACACTTAACCATCTGAGCCACCCAGGTGCCCCTGTAGATGAATGATTTTATGTAACTGATTTTAGGTACACTATCAGGGACATTTGTTTACTTGTGCTTAGGGTACCATGATTTCCCAAGTATAAAAATCTACCATAATTCAAGGGACCTAGATTCCTTCTTTCTTGGGAGACAACCATATGGACACTCGGAAGAATAATATAATCTCTTTTGAGATTTAGAGGCTACAGTTCAAATAGAACTGGGATATTTAGTTCCATCTCTGCAAAGGAAAGACATGGAACTACATTGATTTGTCTTATTACTATTACCTGAAACCTAGCAACTTGTGAGATAGTTTTACAATTAGATAATTGTGTGACAGAGGGACCTGGGTGGAGCTGTGCTCATTTATTTCAAACATCAGAAACATAGGGAAGCATGTCAACATTAATGGCAGCAACAAAAAGATCATCATAATGAAATGACTCACCTGTAGGTTCTGATAAGCTTGTCAGCATGGGGTTCCAGTTGCACTGAACTCAACCATCTATTCACATACAGCTGAATTTGGGGCTCAGAGACTCCCCATAATCTGGCACACATGATCATTATTTCCCGACCAGTCATGTATTCCAGCAATGCATCAGATTGAGGACAATAGCCAACTCTTGACTTCACCTGATTATGAGAATTGTCTTAATAAGGACCCAAGTCATCTATCCCGCTGAGCATCCCTGGATGAGATAGAAGACCACAGTCCTCCAGGCCATGTCTCTAAGAATCTTACCAAGAATTTTTTTCTAAAGCCTACACAGCGATGGCTGCTGGATCTATTGTAATAAGTTGGAATAACAGGTTCCTCAATTCACTTTTAATGATCTTAGGAATGAAAAAGTTAAAATCCCAGAGCCCACTGAATTTGGAGGAGTATTAGAATATGAGATTCTCTCCTCATTAATAAGAAACTCTAAAGGACATGGCCACCATGGAAGTTTTTTGCACTGGGTACAACTTACACATTTGTAGATCTTGTTTCACAGTAAGGCTGAACCAGAAGCAAAGCCTTTCCCCACTCCCACAAACAGGAGAATGCAATGAGTGTTGTTTTCCCAATAACCAACCCTTTAATGGATTTGCATTCAGAGGCACACAGACAAGAGAAAAAGATAACATCATTTTATTAAAATTAATTAAAATTAAAAATAGTTAAAATTATTCTAAATACTTCAAATTCATACCTTTTCCTCTGAGATTTTATTAATTAATTTACAGTAATCCCAGGTTGTTTACACCCCTAATCTCTTGCCAGAAATCAAAATAAACCCTTTCTTCTATTTTAGGTATAAAATTATTCTCCCATCTAATTTTGAAAGTAAATGAGCTTCATACAACCATAACTCAATGAACAAAGAAAAAGATAACCATGAATGCCATCAGTAGAAACAATACGAGAAACATATTTGAAATGACTTCAGATATTGGGATTATCAGATCAAATGTGCAATGATTGTGCAAATGATACATTTTTAAAACTTAAAAATATATTAATAAAAAAATGAAGCTGGAGGTATCACAATTCCAGATTTCAAGTTGTACTACAAAGCTGTAGTAATCAAAACACTGTGATACTGGCACAAAAACAGACACATAGATAAATGGAACAGGATAGAAGCCCAGAAACAAACCCATGATTATATGGTCAATTAATCTTTGACAAAAGAGACAAGAATATGCAATGGGACAAAAACAGTCTCCAGTCTCTTCAACAAATGGTGTTGGGAAAACTGGACAGCTACATGCAAAAGAATGAAAATGGACTACTTTCTTTCACCACACACAAAAATAAAATCAAAATGGATTAAAGACCTAAATGTGAGACCCAAAACCATAAAATTCTTAGAAGAGAACACAGGCAATAATTTCTTTGACATTGGCCACAGCAAGATTTTTCTAGATATGTCTCCTGAGACAAGGGAAATAAAAGCAAAAATATAATATTGGGACCACATTAAAATAGAAAGCTTCTGCACAGTGAAGGAAACAACAAAACTAAAAGACAACCTACTGAATGCGAGAAGATATTTGCAAATGACATATACAATAAAGGGTTAGTATCCAAAATATGTAAAAAAGAACAAAATATGTAGAGAACTTATACAACTCAACACCCAGAAACCAAATAATCCAATAAAAAATGGGCAGAAGACATGAACAGACATTTCTCCAAAGAAAACATCCAGATGGCCAACAGGCACATGAAAAGATGCTTAACATCACTCATCATCAGGGAAATGCAAATCAAAACCACAGTGAGGTATCATCTCACAGCTGTCAGAATGGTTAAAATAAACCACACAAGAAACAACAGGTGCTGAAGAGGGTGTGGAGAAAGGAAAACCCTCCTGCACTGTTGGTGAGAATGGAAACTGGTACAGCCACTGTGGAAAACAGTATGGAGTTTCCTCAAAAAATTAAAAATAGAACTACCCTATGATTGATCCAGTAATTCCACCACTGGGTATTTACCCCAAAGAGAGAAAAACACAATTCAAATGGATAAATGCACCCCAATGTTTATTGTAGCATTATTTACAATAGCCAAATTATGGAGGCAGCCCAACTGTCCATTGACTGATGAATGGATAAAGAAGTGGTATATACATATATATACAATGGAATATTACTCAGTCATAAAAAAGAATGAAATCTTGCCATTTGCAACAACATGGATGGATCTAGAGAGTATAATGCTAAGTGAAACAAGTCAGAGAAAGACAAATACCATATGATTTCATTTCATATGCAGAACTTAAGAAACAAACAAACAAAAGGGAAAAGAGGGAGAGAAACAAACCAAGAAACAGACTCTTAACTATAGAGGACAAATTGATGGTTATCAGAGGGGAGGTAGGTGGGGGATGGGTGAAATAGATGATGGCAATGAAAAGTACACTTACCATGATGAGCATTGAATTATGTATGGAATTGCTGCATCACTATATTGTCCACCTGAAACTGATATTATACTGTATGCTAACCATACTAGAATTAAAATTAAAAACTTTATAAAATTTAAAAAATCTTTATGAAAAAGAAAAGGATAAAGTCACTCAGATATTTTAGGAATGAACCATATATAACACCTAAAAACTAAAAATAAATAATAAATAAAGCATGTTACAAACTTTGTGAATGCATTTGACAGCAATTTAATGACAATGGAAGAAATTAACTTAGCCTGGAGATTAGGTAATAAGAAAGCACCTAGGATGCAGCACAAAAATTAACAAAAATGGGGAATCATGAAAGTGAGAGATACATTGGAAATATCTGGATAGCTGAACTTGCAGAAGGAGAGAAAGAAAGGAACAGGAGAAATAGCTGAGGAAATCGTAAGTGAAAATGATCCAGAACCAATTAAAGATACCAATTGATAAATTGAAGAATGTCAACACATTCCAAGCAGGACAAAATTTTAAAAGATTCATATCTAAATATTTCATGTTGAAGCTTATGTAAAACAAAGAAAATATAAAAGGCAGCTACAGAGAAAAGAAAGATTATCTATAAAGGAATATCAGACTGAGCTAATTTCTCAAAAGTAGATGGAAACTATGGATGGTGAAATAACAGCTCAATTTGCTAAAGAAAAATAATGGCAAACCTCAAATTCTATAAACAATGAAAATATCTTTTGTCAATGAGGGTAAATAAGAGGTATTTACAGGTAAAAACAAAACATGAATAAGAAAATTTGCCTGTGAGTTTCAGATTGAGAATCTGCAACTGCCATTTCTATTCCATGCTGAGGAGAGGTTCTAGCCATTGTAATAAGGTAAGAAAAAAAAAAGCATAGGGTTGGAAAGGAAAATAAACCTTTGTTATCTGGAGCAGTCAATGATTTATAAGTAAACATTCCAATATAATTTATAGATAAATATTAGAATTAAGAGAATTTAGTAATTTTGTTCAATACAAGTTCAATATTTAAAAATCAGTTGCACTCAGGGTGCCTGGCTGGCTCAGTTGGTTAAGCATTAGGTTCTTGATTTCAGCTCAAGTGATGATCTCAGGGTCCTGGGATCCAGCCCCACGTTGGGCTCTGTGCTCAGTGGGGAGTCTGCTTCTTTCCCTCTCTCTCTGCCTCTCCCCTTGCTCACAGACACACTCTAAAATAAACAAATAAATCTTTTAAAAAAATCAGTTGCACTCAATAGACCACCAGCACATAAAAAATATAAAATCATTTAAATATTAAAACATAATATATATAGAAATATATTGCACACAGTATTATTGCTTCTTGATCTTATATCCAAAGAAGCTGATTTCTCTGTTTAGTGTAAAATTCCTATACAACATTAAAACCATTATTCTGAGACATTTAATGAGATCCAACACATGGAAAGATATGTTCACTACAAGTATGTCAATCTTCTGGAATCCCACTTAAAATCCCAGGATTTTTATGCAAAGATAAGCTAATTCCTCAATTCATCTATAATTTAATTTTTGTTTAATTTTTTAAAAAAGATTTATTTATTTTTTTGAGAGAGATCACGAGCAGGGGGAGGGGCAGAGATAGAGGGAGAGAGAAAATCCTCAAGCAGACTCCCCACTGAGCTTGGACCCCCAATCCGGGGCTTTATCCCAGGACCAAGAGATCATGGTCTTAGCCAAAATCAGGAGTTGGATGCTTAACTGACTGAGCCACCCAGGAGCTCCTCAGTAGAAATTTTTGAGGCTAGAATGTAGTGGAATGATATATTTAAAGTGAGAAAAAAACATCTATACCAACGAAACTGTCCTTCAAAAATAAGGAGAAAATAAGAAATTCCCCAATAAACGAAAGATGAGGGAGTTCATTACCATCAGATCTACCCTACAATAAATGCTAAAAACACTCTTTTACATTGAAATTAATGGACACTAGACAGTAAATTAAAGCCATATGAAGAGATAAAGATCTCTGGTAAAGCTAAATACACTAGCTCCTATGAAAACCAGAATTGTTATAATTTTGATTTATGATTCAACTATTTATTTCATACAGTATTTGAAAGGTAAATGCATAAAATAATATTTAATGGTACACAAAGTATAAAGATGTATTTTGTGATAACAATGACAAAGTGTGGACATGGGAACAGAGGTGTATAGGAGTAGAGTTTTTTGTGTGATTGAATTTCAGTTGGTATCAATTCAAAAGAGATGGTTACAACTTTAGAATGTTAGATGAAATCCCAATGGTAATCACAAAGAAAATATCTGTATATATACACAAAAGGAAATGTAACTACAAAAAAATCAGCTAAATACAATATAAGGCAGTAATGGAGGAAATTAGGGGCAAAAAAATCTAAATAAGAGATACAGAAAACAAGAAATGGCAAAAGTAAGTCCTTCTCTATTAGCAATTTTTTTAAAAGATGTTATTTATTTATTTGAGAGAATGAGAGACCACAAGTAGTGGGGAGGAGCAAGAGAGGGAGAGGAAGACTCCCAGGTGATCGGAGAGCCTAAAGCAGGACTGGATCCCAGGACCCAGGATCATGACCTGAGCCAAAGGCAGACATGTAACCAGTTGAGTCACCCAGGTGCCCCTCTATCAGTAATTACTTTAAATGTAAATGGATTTAATTCCCCACTCAAAAGGCATAGATTGGCAAAATGA